CATCGAAGAGTGCCGTTAACTTTAACTGTTCTTTCTATGCAAACTGGCTTTAGTTACGATATAAGTAGATGTTAAGAGAACCAATGGTATGTTGAAGAAAGTACCAATTCAAAAATAATTTAAATTCAGCCAGGGATGGCCTTGTTCATTTTATGTTCATCGTTATTAGCACAACTGTGCTTCACAATTGGATTCTATCTCGTGGCCTGGTTTAGAAGTAATATGCCCTTAAAACTAATTCCCTCTTTTGCAGGTACAATGTTAGACTTGACCCTGATCCGTGTAGAGCTACAGCTATTGTACTTATATGCATTTTAGAAATTCTCATGAATTCGAGTGCTTCTGAAGTGAAATCAAGGTACTGTAGCCCAATCCCCAGTTGTTTTACTGTTTATTTCTTACCACGTCAGTTTATGTGTTAAAACTTCATTTGCACTTCACAGTTCTGTAATTATTCAACCTTCACAGAGATGAATAAACTCGCATGTTTTAAGTCTTAAGAACTAGGTAAGATGCAAATGAATGTAGTTCAGGTAAGTGGACAAAAATCACCTGTGTTTACCTTGTGGACTTAAAGTATTTAATATATACAACATCAGTTGCGTAAAGACTTGTTTTAACTGTGGTTTTTTCATTCATTCATTCATGTAATCCTTCTAACTGTTACAGAATCCTACTGTATCTCAAAAATTATTATCTGGAAGTTAAAAGGATAAGTGGACTTAAAACTGTTACAGTTATGTACACGTAACCTCTCCTTATAGGAGAAGTTTTTTTTTTTGAACGTGCCCACATCATGCTTTGTTTGGAGCACTTTGTTGTGCAGTTCTTCCTCTGACATAAAATTAGACATTGTCCCATGAAAAATGTGAGGCATGAAATTGTCTCACAGATTCATATCTCCACAGAAACATCATTGGGCATGCTGCAGCATGTAATAGCAAACTATAACCATCTCAGCTCAGGACTAAAATGTATAGGTGAACTGAAAGAAACGAAATTCCAGCTGAAGAGCATGCAACTTTTATACCATCACTCTCCTTGAGGGGGCTGTGTTTCTTTATTATGATAGTGATCGTATTTTCAGACCCCAAATTGCTGCAGGTTTTTTAAAAAAGTGTTAAATGTTCACCACAGCTAATCCTAGTTATTGTTTCCAAGCACATGAAAGAGCAGAAAATAATCAGGAGTGATTAGCATGGTTCCACCAAGGGGAAGTCATGCCTAACAAACACGAAATCATAAATCTGATGGATGAAAGGGGAGCAGTGGATATTCTCTATCTAGACTTCAGAAAACTTAATACTAAACAGTGTAGTTTATCTTCTTGACCAGTACTTGTTAACTCAAATGATGTAAAACAATGCATATTTCTGTTACTGAGAATTTATTTCTAAATTTACATAATAATAGTGTTAAATGACATTTTATTAGCCTTTTTGCATAATTTCTCTTGCTTATATATTAATTATTTCCCATTGAGCCTGTCTTTTTTTTTTTTCTATTTTAAAAATGGCAAATCCTTGAAATCTATGCATTCATTTTGTAAAGAAAATGAAATAAGGTATTTGGACTCCTGCACATATGGCCACAAAAATGGCAGTTTTTTCTTTCTATTCTTACAGCAAACTCCTGAAGATTGTGGCCAAAGTTCCACTCCTGTTGTCTGTTGCAGTGTTGGCTTTCGGACGAATGCATTTATACAAAGTACCACATTTTGTAACTTTTTCTCTTCTTCTACATGTGCTGTGTTGTGTTGTGTAACATTGGTTTTACATAAGTGCAGTGCAGCCTGGAAAGTTACGGTGGTGAGGGGACGAATTTCAACAAAGGAATGCCTAGACCAACATAACTTGTGTTATATGGGAAAGATTGCTGAAATGCAATTACTTTATGAGAAGCTTTTGGCTCTGTTAGAAAGTTTCTCATGGTGTTCATTTCTTGACTGTGACAATTAAGTGAATTAACTGTGCGTGTGTAAGCACATGAGTTGTATTAATGTTACATCTCAACACTCCGTTTGCCTTGCAGACACTTGGATATTTCACTGTATTTCTTAGTTGAAATAGACTTTTTTTTACTCAATACACTGTACAGTGCGTATGTTCTGGACTTGCTTCTCTTGCAGGTCAGAAGTATGCTGGTTAGACTCAATAAACTTCAAGCACACTGTGACTATCAGAAATACTACACAGCCAAGTATACTTTCAATCATTTTATGCTACATTTAAAAGCTGTCATACTTGTATCTAGTCAAATCAGAATGTACTGCTTCTATAGAGCTGTTATTTCTAGCAAATTACTTGTTCAATTACTGTTAGGTGAGTGAGAGATTAATGAAAGTTTTAAACATTTTCATTTTTGTGAGAGTGAGAAAACAATGACAGTTTGTGTGGCTTTCTATTCTGGAAGCTTACCAGCAGATTCATAAACAACTGGCTGTAATGTTGTTTTAAAACATTGCCGATTTTGTTGGAATTTTGTTGATTCAGAAATGACTCCTTAGACCTCATCCATATGTAGGAGGTAGCAAATTTTAAGGTATGATGCAAGTTGACACTACAGTTGCTATACTGCAGTTTCCAGATAGCCAAGGCAGGGTTCTTTCCTATTGTAAATGGAGAGTCTTCATCTCATGGTAAATGTCCATACAGTGATTTAATATGAAATAGCTGCAACATATAAATCCACGCCTTGCCATACTGTGCTAACTTCCTTCTGTGGATGAGCTCTTAGGTAGTACAAAAAACTGTCTGTAATTATTAGCTCTACATAAAGAATTATCTTAGTGCCTAGATGCTAGTGACTGCCATTTACAACGATGCCTAGAATAGCTGTGTGTAAGGAATTCTATCTCCTGGCATGTGTTTTGCCAACAGAAGAAATCACACTAACCGTTATGTTATTTAAAATGAGGTATTGATTCCATGTAGAGATGAGTGCTACTACTTGCTTCTTTGTTAGCTGTCTCCACTATCTGAGATATGTCATCTTCATATGGGATTACTATGCCAGCTTGATTACCTAATAGGGATAATAACAGGAAATCTGCTACTACTGTCAATTGAGTGTATTCTTAATATAGAGGTAGAGCCTGACCCATTGGTTTAATCTTGTTATTCTTGCCTGAAGTGCCTCAGTTAGTTCTAGCTTGTTCTTAGAGTTAATTCATCTGAGCTGCCTGAAAAGACTTATTAATTCACACAGTGACTTTGAAAATGAACCTATTCTGTCTTATAAACCAATCAGCTATTCAAGCTATCACTTAGTCATTAGAACTGCTCTCAATTGTAGTTAACCAAACCACCTGTTACTGCTGTCAGTAAACTACCTGCTGATCTTTAAGTCTTAACATCCTATTGACAAGATTAGATCATGTGCATAGTGTTAGTAAATCAGAGAAGTTAATTGCATTATATCCTTATACTGTCTAAACAAATGTATGCTACAGTATATGTATAAAAGATAATTTGTGTCCATATATACTTGTAGCTTGATTTAGCCTAGAGGTTTCTTTTCAGGCACAGAAGAATAGAGTAGTTTTCCTACTTTCAGGTGGCTGTTAGTGTGATGGACAGTGACAGAACTGCAGAGGAGTTGGTAAAAGGCCATCTGTAAAATGTGCAAAGGTCTGATTTCTGTGAAAGATCATTTCCTTGGCATTCATGGTCCCTTTGGCCTACTACTGTATTTTGCTTCCTATTTTGGTTTGCCATTTTTATCACTTCTTCATGCGTGAACCCATTTGTTGGAGCTGTTGGAATGATCAGAATAAGGAGAGCAAACAGTCTCAAGATGTGGTAACTTCCAAAATCTGGCGGTGCATGAAACATACCAAATCACAACAGCATAGAGTAACACCATTTTTCTTATTTAATGGTATTCTTGTAAGCTGGGAATTTTGTTGATGTTGCTATCGTTCCTCATGAAATGGGTTACAAAATGTTATGTTGTGATTCTTATGTGATTTTGAAGGCGTAGGTAGGAATGGAAAGATATAATCCTTAGTCTGAGATCCCAGGTCTGTTGAGGTTTTCAGACTTTTCTCTCTCTTCTGTTGATGCTTCCTTTTCCAAAGGTCATTCACTTTCACAGGGGGAAGAAGTAGGTAGTCTTACTGCAAATTTGGATTTTGTATGCTTTGTGTATCGTTGCTAGATGAAAAACGTGCTCTCAGAGATGTGCACTAAGGTTTTGCAGTGACTGAGGACTGTCTAACTGCTGTTTGAGAGATGAGGGTTCTAATCTCAGCTAGATTCCCTGTATAATCAGTAGAGGGGATTAGGACAAATGTCAATTCATCCAGTTCTAAGAAAAGATTTTACAGATTTCCAAAATAGTTTTTCAGATAAATAGTGTGATTGTACTTATGGAGAAAAGACTTCTGTTCTACAGATTTTCTAGTTCGGCCACCTCCCTCATTACAGTCTCAGCAGAAATGTGGGCTAACCCACATTTTTAATTGGCTGTATGACAAAGTATAAATATTACCAGAGCACCTTTTTGTATGAGTGGACATTTATAAAACAGCTTTTGGGAAATACATTCTCTCAATACCTTTAAATCATAATTCCAGTTTACTCTTCCAACTATCTGAAGTTACTGGAGAAGATCAAGACAAGCTATTTCATGATGATTTAAAGCTCCATGCTGAAAGGAGCATCTCTGCTAACTCCCACTCCAAGTTTGTTGTTCTGTTCCTTTTTAGAAGTTGAGATACTAATTCTGCAGAACCACTGTGGATGTTTGCCTCGTTTACGTGGAGATCATACCATGTAAAACAAAGACTTTGTGGCTCATATGTCAGGAGACAATCAAAATAATAATGTGTGCCTCCCTTATGTTTTTGTAAGCTGTTAGAAGGGGATTAAAAAAAAAAAAGAACAGAGAGTACCAAATGTCACTAAGTGGAGCAGAATCTTTCTTTCTTATTCTGCTGCAGTAATAGCTATACCTATAGCTATCAGTTCACAAAATATTTGTATTTGTAAGGTAAGGAAAAGGTGTTATTTCTTAACTGGAACTACAGATGGTGATATCTGCAGGATTGATTTAAAGCTGGTTGCAGAATGTCACATTTTTGAATCATCTGAAAAGGGGATTTGTCTTCTTTTGTTATTGTTGTTATGTAAGGGGAAAAAAAAACAACCACAGTAAATGAAATGCCATTTAATTTTATTTCTAATACTTGAAGTTCTGCTCTGATGGTTTCTTTTTTTGAGCTGATACATATAGAAATTTATTCCAAAGTACTCATTTGCAAAGTTAAAATGAAATGAACAAAGCTGACAAGTGTAGTTGTATTGCAGAAAGAATGGGGGCTACCTGTGTGCTAAAGAGAGCTTTTTAACTACCTGGGCCACCCTTATAGTCATTCTTTAAACAAAATGATAATAATAATAATACCTTGATACTGAAAGTAAACAAACAAGAGGCAACGAAAAGCATTATTTTATAGGTTGGTATTTGATATAAAGTCTAATTTTCCATCTGTTTGCCAGTAACAAGGTTGTAAACCTGTCACTTAGCTTTTTTTTCCCCTAAAGTCTGATACATCTCCTTCAGATCTTGACAGGATGAACAAAGCTGATTTGTTGCCTGTGCATAAAATGAATATTTGGGAAGCCTTTTTGATCAAGTTGATGAAGTTCAATGCATTGATGAGTGTGCTGATAAGGAAAAAGTTTTGTGTGTTTATACTGAGAAAAAGTGCAGCCATTTACAGACCCTTAACGCCCTGAGCTACTGAAAATGGTTTTGAAAGCAGTGATCGTGTGTGTACAGTAACTGTGCTGCTGTTTCAACTCACCAAGCCAGTAGAAAACTGTTAGCTGCAGAAGAGACTGAGGTCAATGCTTTTTACATGTCATGGTGAATGTTAATTGCTTAATTTTCAGGTTTGGCTCTTTACATCTCCTTTTCAGGGAGACATGATCAAACTAGCCTTTATAAGCACTTAGCACTGCACCCTAAGTGGTTCTAAATCTTCTATCACCATACCTTTAGGGGAGCTGTGTTTCTGTCACCAAAGCTGTGTGCTGCTCTTACATACCTCTGCAAAAGTGTACCAATGAGTGACAGTTGAGAAGCAGATTCATTTTTGATGTCAGAGTAAAATAGTTTTTCTACCTTTTCCTAGAGCTATAAGCTAGTATTCATAGTGAAATACTTGAAGTCTCTTAAAGATTATTTGACAAACCTATTACAAATATGTATTTTTTATTTATGGAAGAATGTATTCAAAACTTCTAATTGGGACATTGAAAGATAAAATAATAAGTATACATTTAATCTTATTATAAGCATTCCATTTTTTTTAAAACAAATATGACTATTTAGAAAATTCTATAACTTCTACTGAAGTCTGCCCACCACTTCAGTTCTTCAGTTATGTCTAAGCATGGAACTGCTTCAAATATGTGCTCATGGCATTATAGCCTAGAAACCAAAGTCAAAGCTGTGACATTTAGACTGCAAGTTGTTTTAAGATTTAGGGTATCATTCTGTGTTCTTATATGCATGCAGGTTTTGCAAGTCAATCTCTCATAAAAGATCTTTTAAGCTCAATTTCTCTGCGGTTCTTGATGGGTTGTGGTCTAAATTCTCTTAGAAATGTGTAGTATCAGAGCTAATTTTGTCTCTCTGAAGTTTGGGAATGGTACGCAAAAGCTTGTTACTTTGCAGTACGTTATTCCAATTGCTCCTTCCATACAGAGTTATCCTTCATTTGCTCCATCCTTCTGCTATAGCACCAGTCTAGAGGTTTGCAGTAATAGCAGGCACTGCAGATGATGTAGTGAAGATCTGTCTGTCCTGTAGGCTGTTGCTTTTTTTGAAGTCTTTCATGCTCATTGAACTACCAATGAAGATTTTGCTTTCCTCCAAATTCTTAAATTACTTCAAGGCTTATATTAAATGTTTAGATGGGTACCTTTTTATATGTTAAAAGCACTCTTTTGGGATCAACTCGGGCTTCTCTATTTCCCATTCATGTCACTCTAAGTGTGAAAACAGTATTAGACACCAGTACCTGACAACTGAAATATTTTACAGAAGTCTGCAAAAGTAGACCTGAGATGCATAATGAATGCCAGACCAAAACTGAAAATGTGGAATTCCTCACTGTGTCTGTGACTTGAAACCACCAAAACACCACCACCACAAAACAACAGAACCCACAACCGTGTGCCTTAAACCACTAAATGAATACACACTAACTGTAGCCTGTGAACTTGTGTAGCCTTGTTTTTCTTTTTTTGAAATCAAAGGTAGTCGTGTGCATCGTACTGATAATTGGTTTGAGGAAAGTCATTTTTAATTTGTTATTTTATTTTTTTTTAACTACATTTACAGGCATTAAGGTTTATGAGAAGTGCAATGCACTTACGGTTTGGAATCACACCACCCAAAGGCAGGAAACTTTAGCTCACCTTAATTTCTCATTTCTTTCTATAATGGCAAAGAAAATGAAGGGGAAAAATTCACGTCATCTTCTACATCTTTGTAGGAATTTTTCAAATTTATTTTCTTTAGAACTGTAGCTCAAGCAAAGTGCTTTATTTTAGTCATTAAGCATCAACATCTACTCAAAGTGGTAGAGTTGAGAGGCAGGGATGCATTTGTTTGCGAGCTTTCAGACATTTGAATAAGGAATTTCATGTTTTAGGAAAAATGTCTAAGTTAGAAAAAACAAGTTCTGCTCTTAAATCATCAGAAAGAAATATTCATGCTCTTAAAATCCTGCTTTGATGTAGTAAAAAATAAAATTGAATTCTTACTGTTTAGCATGAGGAAATTGAGGGAAAGCCACTTCTCTATGACTGTATATTTGGAACAAAATCCCCAAAATTCTTTTTTATTCCCAGCAATAGTACTAAGTAAAACTTGTTCTTGAATAAAGGTGTCATATCTGGGATACTATCAGTGGGCTGTAGACGTTGAGATGTGCACGCAAAATGATTTCATCTCAGCTCATCACAGTAATTGGTGGCAATACAAATCAGTTCATAACTTTCTTTTATTGAGATATAACATGAATCTGGCTGCTGCAATGCTGTTTTCATTGTGGAATAGCAGAAAACATGTGGTTTGTTTGTTTGTTTGTTTTTGTCAGCCCTACTGATTCCTTTGAGTAGCCTCTGAGTTCAGGACTGTTAGAACTTTTTCCAGTCACCTATGTGTCTCTTCTTTGTTCTGTGCTGGTGTTGTTCCAGTCATCCTAGTAATGGTGGACTTCCTGGCTACAGTAATACTAGTGTGAAAATCATTGAGAGGGCCAAGCTACTTTTAAGGCTTTTATGTATGATAATGAATCTAGAAAAAATGTGCAAACCTAGTAACTTAATTCCTTTGTTGCCCTTTCACTGTTTTTTTCCAAGCACAAGGACAGAATAATGTTGGACAGAATACTTACTTTGGGTGATGGGCAACCAACTGGGGATTGATGGTTGTTTGTGTTAAGCAAGCTTAAAGCATTGAAAAGCATTAGTTTTTTTGAGAAATCTTATCAGTTACTAAGCAACCTAACTTTTTTTTCCTTCTTGTTTTGAGTTCTTATATAGCTACTGTAAGCCTGGTATTTAAAGTGGAGCTAACTCTAACAGTTACAGGTGTCTATAGTTGTTAACATGGTCTTATCAATAAATGTTTAGCTAACACTATAATATTGTGCTTATTAAAAGAGGTATAACTGAATTCTCAGATACATCTGCTTTGTGTGATAAGCTTGAGCCAAGTCTTTGTCCTGTGAGATGCTGAGAAAATCTTGGAATATAGCTATCTTCAGCTAATGTTTAAATTAGTGAAAGCTGTTCATGTGAGTCATTCAAAACTATGCTTTTAAATACTGGTCCTTTTTCATTAAGGGCAACTTGAATGAGAGCTACACCGGGACTTTCATGTTTTGATGGTTTCCATGTCTGTTGTGTATAATTCATATTGTTGTAACATGTTTTGTTTTGTTTTTTTTTATACACTAGTGTGCATGATATAAAAGTACACTGTATACTATAAGCTTTGCTAAGTAAACACTTCTGTATATTTTTGTATGGTGTTTTGACATGGTTGCATTAGTACAAATGGTGGTAATTCACACCAAGTGCCACTTACCAATCATGCTCTGTGGAGTGTTGTGAATGTTACCTGTACATTTGTTGTACAAACACGCTAATGAGTGTTGTGATGAACATCTGCCTTTAGTCTTTGCTCAGGTACTGATGTGGAGCAGTTCGGTGCTTTACCTTCTAACTTGTAATACTTGGGATTCTAAGCAGAAAATAAAATCAGTGAACAAAAACATTGTGGTTAGAGCATTGCTTTCCATAATGGACTCTCTTTTTTCACATCTTAAGCAGAATGCAGTAAAGGTCATGCTTGATGAAGCCTGTCTCAATATCTTAACTTGTGCATCTTATGCTTTTACATCTGTCTAGCTATCTTGAATGGGAAATATAATAGAATGAAAAAAATATCTGTTGAATAATGTAGTTTATATACAGCATCGTGTGTGTGAAACTTGTTCTGTAATTAGCCTAATCAGATTTAAGTTTGCCTCTCATTTTAGAACAAGGCTTTTACTGTTTTGAGAGAACTTGCTTGAGACTGAATGTGCAACACAGTGAGCATAGAAAGTAATGCAAACACACTCAAGTATTACCATGCCACAGTGACTATGTCATTACCACAGCAACTTTCTAAGGACTTGATTTATTGAAGATATGCTTCTACATAGGCAATTTGAGAAAAACCCAGTGCTTTGATCACATTTGATCACATTCAAAAATGCAGGACGCTGACATCTGCCTTGGAAAGCGCTTATTAAACGAGGTGCTGTTCTCCAAGGAGGAATCAATGTAGTCCAATACGTGTAAGTGTACTGAAAGTATATTAATATGATTGTGTACTAATGTTTGACTTTGGAAGAACTGTAACATATTGGCAAAGAAAAAAATGGCATTAAGTTTTAGCAGACTTAGATCAAATAATTTTTAGTGTAAATGCTTTTAGCTTAGAAAGTAATAATACAAGTTTATAGAGTTTTCAGGGTTTTTTTTAAGACAACTTATAGAAAATACGTTCTAATTGAATCTGTTGATTATCCACGTGCTTCATCAGTCAGCCTCCCTGTCTGAATTCTGTTAGGGGATACCATAACAGCCCTAAAGCAATAACACTTGCTGCAAATTTACAGATGTCCTCGACATGCTTTACTGGTTGAATATACTGCATATCCCCCACAGCTTTCTTTTGGAGTAAATCAAATGAATGGAAAAAAATTGAAGTAAAAATAAAGCAGTGGCTGGAATAAAACTGCTGCTGTTCTTGCTTTTTGATATTTGTTTATTTAAGTTAAATAAAGAACTGAAATGTAAGCCCAAACTGTAAACCAAGTTGGTTTTTTTTTCTTTCCCTTACTGTCATTGCCTCTAGAGGAAAAATACCACTTCTTCTTGATTACATAAGTTTGTGAACACTCCTGGAGAGGGAAAGGAGGATTGTGAGGAGAGGTGATCACATCAAGATCGGAGGTTTGGAAGGGTTTGAGCAAACAGCACTGACCAATCTGTTTTATGGCTATTCTGTCTGACACCAAATTGTAACGGCCTGCTGAAACTTTGCCCCAACAACACTGAGGGATGTCTGCAATTGCAGTGGTCATGGTGTGAAGCAATGATGTCAGAACTAAGACAGGAAGTCCCAGGGGGAGAACATTAATATTTATAAAGAAGACAATGTATTAGAAACAAGAGGTAAATAGCTGGTATTGAAACACTGATTTACAAAACAGTAAATCAGTTCCAGATGTTCAAACTGGTGAAATGATTAAGGAACAAAATGATGTGGATAGCTGAGTATTATGAACTGCTGTAGAGAAGAAACAGTTCTAAGATAAATAGGTCTAAAATAAACTTGGTGGGATGGGATTCGGGTTAGGAAGATCTGTTTTTTAGGCAGTAGAACTGAATCATCTGTGCTTTCTTTACCACTGCTGTGTGCTAACAGCCCGCCACCTGAAGTGTTATTGGGCTCTGACTAATGAAGATGGGGCACTGGACCTGCATTTACCAAGGGAAGAGTGGAGGAAAGTAAAGCTGTGTGTGTACACCTGTGCTTACTTGATGGTAAGTAAATGAAAAGAGCTGATTAGAGACCTGTTGACCTTAACAGTGAGTACCATCAAAGAGTTCAAACAGAAATGACTTATGACTAAATTTAGGTGGAATTTCAAATTTAGCTGTGTGTTTCTTGTCTTAAAATAAGCCACCTCTTCGCTTTAAAGATACTGACTGTGCATATACACAGGGCTCAAATGTGCGTTAACCGCCTAATTATACACTGAGTGTAAGAGGAATCAACTGAAGATTTTTGGGTTTTCTTTCTTAAGTTAATATCACTTTGGTGAAATGTTATCAGCTGATGTTTCAGTATATCTCAGTTTTGGAATTTATTCAGGAAGCACCAGAAATAAAATTCTGAACCGAGTTCCTGGCTGCAGAGACTGGGGTCTCAGCAAAAAGAAACCAAAGACTGACAGAAAGCAATTGGAGTCATGATGAGGAAGATTCAGAAATATTCTTCAACAGGAGCAAGTTTTGTGGAGAGAAGATCGTTCAGATTCCTATCTGGGAGAGAGAAAGAAAGGAGAATCCCAAACAACTATTCTAAGTTCCCTTGATCGTAAGTAATTAGGTGTTCTACCTTAAGGTCTCCCTGCCAGTTAAGGTGGTGGCTCTGAAGTGGCTGCTGAGTAACTGAACTGTATGTTGGAAAGAAGTTGGGATGTTGTCATGCTTTTTTTTTTTTTTTAAGCTGTTCATTAAAACATCTAAAATTGCGTTATCATCATAAAATTCACACCTGCTATTTCCCTTCATAACTGTATTTTACATCTGCTCTTCTATCTCTAAGAAAAACAGTTAATTCTCCTTGTGTCTGATTATGCAGCTCCTCTCTTTTTTAAATGCTATACAAATTGGTTCTTTCCTTCAGAACTTGAGAGGTAGCTCGTTCCTAAGATTGTTTAGAATTGATCTTCGAGGCAGATGGATTGGGAAATGAGTGTACTCTGTGTTTTAAACTTCCTGTAATTTCCATTTGATATCTTAACTCAGCACAAGACTAAGGGCATTTAGTCTGAAAAACCCAAAATATAAATAAAATACATCATCTTTTGGCAATAAAATCAAACAAAACCAACAAAAGCAGCTGGGCTTAAATAACTGGAGGGCAGCAGCTTTTACACAAAGCTAAGGAAATCAGAAGACTGCTGTGGGATATTAGTGCTAAATTCTGAGCTACACACAATTGTGGATATCTGATGAGAAGGATAGAACTTGCCTATAGATGTTATTTCACTGGGAAGTCCTCATTTTATGGACAGGGAGTTGCGATGCAGAGGATCATGGCATGGCGGTTGTTAAATATGTAGGCTGGAGTAGGCTAGGAATGGTTCCCAAACCAAATATACCAACCAAAGCCTGTTTTTCAAGTAAAGAGATATATTATACTACTTTACTCTGATTTTAGATGAAAATGTCAAAGTAACAGTGTTCCTGTATTGGAACATTATGCAAACTGGTTTCTGTGCTCTTTCAGTTTCGGCTTGAAATTTTGGAACTACATTGGGTTGTGCAAAATTGAAGATATCTCACACTTTGACATGATGAAGAGAGATACTTTTTTTTTTTTTCCAACAAGAAAGGACTGGTCAAGGTGTGTGTTTTGCAGGATAAATGGTGCAAAAATATGCTTTCAGTAATTCACTAACTGTCCGCACAGTCCTGAAGCTCGGGTAGAAAAATAACTTGCGTCCCATGTTGTTAGCAAGCAGATGAAAACACTCATGTTTTTGTCTAACAAAATGGAACTGGAAAGTAGTGACTACCTGAAAAAGTAGGAAATAAGAAAGTTTCCTTACTGGTTTTTCTCTTGCTAGTGCTATTCTGGCACTGATGAGTCTATGAACTATTGATGAGTCTGTTATCAGAAAGTTCCATTTTGACAGGAGTAACTGATTGAGTTTGATGAATATATAATAATTTTATAATATTATTGTTTTTCAGTGTTTTTTTTTCAACCTTTAGAATTTAGGTTTAGAATAATATACAAGCTGAATAGCACAAATTATACTTGTATGGATTACTGCAACTATGAAACTAATACTGCTGGGAATTTTTTACCCTATGAAAGTACGGGTAGGATAAAGATTTATCTTAACAAAAAATTAGTTTTAAAATATCTCTTTAGAGATCTATCTTATTATACTAACCAAAATATCACTTAAATAGGAGAGAGAAGTGTGCAATGAATGTATAGGCAAAAAAAATCAAGCAGCGTTGAGCTAGAGGATGCTACAAAATAAGGCCAAGACAAATTAACATAGTTGTTTTTGCAGGCTTTGTCTTAGCTTGTAGCATCACTGGAGGATACTGACTGCTGATAAAATCAGGGTAGGAAAGCAACACTTTAATTAAAATACTATGAATTTGGAAACAGTCTCTGCTTTTCTCTGTCTCCTGCATCAAGAAAATGATCTATATCTCATCTTGCTTGAAAACCATTCTACCAGCTGTAATTACTTGTCACCTTTCTAAAGATACCAAAAATTATTTTCAATTAAAACCAGTATTTTGATACAGCTCTGCTATCTCTGCTGGAAATAGTTTTAAACTTCCTCTATGCTTACCGCCAATTTTCTGCAATACAGCGTTAGGAGGAGGAATTTGCACTGCAGTGTTCAATAGCAACAGGTCTTAAGAGTATTAAAGATGAAATTCTCAAGGGTCTTTATGTCATGGATGGAAATGGAATCATTACTGTATTTTTGAACTTCTGCTAACGTCACTGACACCCACCTACAGTCCACTAGAAATATAAGTGCAGAGATCAGCTCATTCACAGATCACAAGGAGACTAAGCAAGAAGGGCAAGCCAGAGCAAGAATCACTGGTAAGCTTTATTTTAAAGAGAGTGAAAGGTAGAATGCGATTATCTTTTTATTTTTTCTTGACTGAAGGTGTGAAACTGTTCTCCAGTATCTTATGCCAGACTGTGCTATTATTACACTTATTAATATATGTAGTACATTCTCCTTTTGTGCAGTTTTAAAAATTGAGCTATCTGGATCTCAGGCCACAGTTTTGCATTATCCTTGGAGCCTGTAGACTGGACGCTTTAACTATTCAGCCAGTGAAAATGGTTGTATTGTAATTGCAAATGTAAATTTAAAATGGAAATATCCTCTCCTAAGCATCAAACCGGTCCCTTCCAGAAAGAAACCAGTATCTAGAAGTAACTTTGATATGGGAAAGCTTATTTACTTCCTAGTACATTAGCACAGAACCTAGAAAGTTCATGGCACACAGATTTAATCTGTAGAAAGCAGATTTTCCTTGCCATGGATGAGTGATTTCCAGAACTGCTCTGGATTGCTTTCTTTGGTGGTGGTGACAGTTCTGTAGGGCTGGTGCTTTGTCCTTCTTGCAGATAGTCTGTTCATCTCTTCGACATGTGGAAAGTGGTGCTCCTGGGACTATATGCAATGCTGGCTGTCAGAGGACTGACAAAGGGTGCTCCTTTCGAACCAGAAGAAAAATGGAAACCTCTAGATAATCCCAGAAACAGAGACTTGGTAAGGAAATGCTGCAAGAAACAAAGTCTACGTTTTGTGGTTTGGTTTGTTGGTTGTTTTTTTTTTTCCATTTTCCATCACAATAATTTTTGCCCATTAAATTTAATGGCAAGAGGGTTTAGTAACTATGCACTTGACACAGTAAGTACAAGTGGCTGAGCATTCTTCAGTGCACATGTACCCCTTAACTGAAGATGCATTCTCAGCGTGCAGTAATGCACGTAACTTGCTCACATCTTCAGCAGTTTTAGTTAGATTATACTGCTGCTGCTTTTATAAACCTGAAGATGAGAGATTATTATGTTTCTCTTGAAAGTGTACTGCTGGTTACACGCTGCATCTTAAGCACGTTTCCATCTGACACATCCTTGTGAATAGTGGCTGAAGATCTAAAAATTAATTAGGAACTGAGGAAATATAATTAAGGCAATGTTTGCAAGATCTCATAAGGAATTTGTGAGGGGGGAAAAAATCAGTTTCCCACAGTTTTTACAACTGTTTAAAGGAGAATTGACTAAATTTTCCTACTTTCAAGCAATCTAAAGGGCCAATTCACATCAATTGTGCACCGTTGCTAGCTCTTAGAGAACATTCCATGCTGTTAAAGGTACTAAAGGTACTCTAAGAGGTACTGCTTGCCCTCAGCAAGAGTTTTGCCATATCTACTTCATAAAGGTTATGGCTTGAATCCTCTGTGGCTCAGTGGGGAACACAGACTACCAGTGAAATGTTGGTGGTCTTGGAACAGCACATAAGATGTAAAGCCATGGACAGATCAGACATGTCCGAATTATATTGCTTATATCACAGCAGTTTATGATCAAAATAGATAATTTCATCCCAGATAGGAGGGGATTGTTTCAGTAGAAATAATCAATCAGTTGGGCATACTCAGTTTTCACTTATGAAATATGTTCAGTTTTTCAGAACGCTCCAGGCATACTTTTCCGGTCGGGGTCTCGATCTCAGAAATTTCCCAGCTACTTTCACTGTGAACAATGAAGGACCAAGGCCGGTCATGTTCTACTCAGATCCCATTGCTTCTGCGTTTGCAGATTATGAAGAAAGGAAAAATTCTTTTCCAAACGACTTGAAAGGCTAAAAGATGCTGCCGACCAAGGTAAAAGAGGATGCTTTTACATGTAAGCCAGGGAAATCCTTGAGTTTCAAGCAATTCTCAATTCCATCTGACATATAAAAACAACTTGTTCTTCAGATGCAATTAAGCGTGACACCTTAACTCGTGCCTGAAGTTGTTTTGAAATTGACGAGGTTGAGATATGTGAGGTATTTACTGCTTTTGTAACAGCACACATTGTGCTTGTGCAGATCTACGTAGCCTGTGGTCTTATCTTTATTTTCATTTGGAGAAAGATGTTGAAAATGTACAGATACTAAAGAAAACCCACCTTATCTATATAAATTATAGATTGAGACTGTTGATTTCCTGTCATGCATGTATCAAAATGCATTTATACATAAGATACTGCACTAACAAAGCATATGGTATTTGTATCTGTCTGTGCATACTGCTTCCTTTACTTCTACCACTAAAATTGAAGGTTGAATAAAGTAATTGTGAGCTCATTCACACTTCTCCATAAATACGAAATAAAGGTGAAGAGGGCCAAACTTTGAGTTATTAATAAATGCAGCCTCAGTTTATAGCAAGTACTTCTGAGCTGTTTTATCTATGCACAGCTATACTCTGTAGCAAATAAATGATCTTGTAGCTCATTTTGAAAGTCAGTGAATACTGCTGATTGTGAAGAAAGGCTAACAATTGTTTTCTCCTGTTTTATAAGTAGGTGAAGATCTCAGTCAGATTTGAATGTAAGAACTTAGGTGATTTGTGCAGTGTTTGACAGAGATTAATTTGTTATCAGTGTTCAGTTTTGGATTTTTAGGTCTGCTTAACTGTTTCTATTCCTGAACTGTAGGTACAGCTCTACTGTTCCTCTTTGTACGAATAACAGTCAAGATTGGCATTCAGATGTTAATATCCAAGTTTTCTTTTTTACCAAGTTATTCTCAGTAATCAAATCCAACACAAAAAAAAGCCCGGTACTGTGAGCTCTGTGCATGACGAATAGGTTAGGACTGGACGCGAGCAGGGATGCTGTCACTGTGCCATGCCACAGCAGTGCTGAGAGAACTACCGCAGGAATCGGCGCTGTGTAATTCAGCACGGCCACGGTTCCCTCCAACCTTACGAGCGGGGTCTGGTCGCCGTGGTCAGAGCAGGGTGCTGCGCTGAGTGCTTCGCGACGTGCCTCACGCCTTGTTTCCCCTCTCTTTCAGGTGTTAGCTTTCGGACTTCACGCCAGGCGCTCACCTCCACGGCGAAGTGCTGCCGCCTTGCCTTCTTCCCTGCTCGCCGGCAGTTTAAACGTCCCCTCCGCCCCAGCTCTCGCCCTGAGGCGGGTCGCCTCGCTACCATTCCCATTTGCTGTCCGTTGGTGTTACGCGTGGTGCTTGGGGGCAGCGCTGGCTGTGTTTATGTCCGAATAAACGGGGAATACCACCCTTGTTCAAAATAGGTAAATAAACGTGACCTTCCGGCCTCCCGGAGCTAGGCGGTGTGAGATGCGGGCGGGGAGGGCGTTAGATATTATTTTACCAGCAGCGTACCGCTCTGCGGGGAGATGAACGCCTGGGCACCCCGCGAGCGGCCCTCGCACTGCGGAGGCGCGCTCCCCGGACGCCGTGGGCTCCCGGCCGCGTGAGGGACGGCACGGCTCCCGGGCGACGGCGGAGCCGCACGCGCCCGGGCTGTGGGGTCCGGGCCGCACCGCGGCAGCGCGGAACCCGAGCGCGAGGCGCGGGGCGGGGCGGGCGCCATAGCCGGAGCACCGCGTCCCGCCCTCGGCGCTTCATCCGGCCGGCCCGGCGCGATGTCGGGGTTCAGCCCGGAGCTGATCGATTATCTGGAAGGGAAGATCTCCTTCGAGGAGTTCGAGCGGCGGCGGGAGGAGCGCAAGAGCCGCGAGAAGGTCGGGCGGGCCGGGCGGGAGCGGCGCGGCCTCCTCTGCGTCGCGGGGCGGCCTGCGAGGGGCCCGGGTCGGGAGGAGGCGGGGCTGCACCTAGGGCGGCGCAGACGCTGCCCCGCGCCCGGCCGGCGGGTGCCGGTGGGCCGTCATCCGGCGTGTGCCGCTGCTGGCTTCCCAGCAGGTACGTGGGGCGGCTCCGCGTGAGCGCGGCGAGGTGCCCGGAGAAACTCTGCCCGCTCTGCGTTCCTTGCCGCCGCAGCATTGAGGAGAGCTGTGCGGCCACGGCGGGACGCGCTGCAACCGAGGGACGAGTACCGTCCCGAGCAACCTCGTAGTGCTACGAGGAGTGCAACTGAGGTCTTTTGTGTTCAAAAAATGCAGGCTTCTAAAAGAGCTCGCCTTACCTACCTTAGTTTTTTACCTTAGTTCATAGGCTGAACCCTACCATCTTATTTCAGCGTAATGCCGCGTGAACGACGGCCTCTTCAGCCGGCAGTCGTGAACATTCACCACCTGAGTCTCCCCTCGTTGATTAGAATGTGAATGTCCGAAACCAGGTGTTGCTGAGCTTTCTGTTTATTTAATTTGAAGATACAGCCCTTGGCACACCTGTTTCGCTTGCAGTGCAAAAGCTGAAAGCCCTGGTCTGAACGCTAATCCTGAACATCAGGGGAAACAGGAGTGAGGCGTGTGGCAAATCTGGTAACTAATGTTGTTGGTGTGTGTAGGACAGTGAGAATGCATCTGCTGAGGAGAACACCGACGACATAGATGCTCCCTCTTCATCCAGAAAGGCAGCTGGGAAGTCCCAAAGTCAGGATGAAACAGATGGTAAATATTACTGTGATGGTTTTGGCAAAAAATGTACTCTAAAGGTGACTGGGAGCATTTGCTCTCTAATAGTTGAACTTCTTTAAAAACCTGTCTGTTTCTGCTGAACCTGTGGGTAACGAAGCACACAGAGTGCATGCCTTTGTAGGATGTTTTTTGCATATGTAGGCTTTAATATTGTTCACTAGTCTTACGGGGCTGGATCTGGTCTTCTTTTTTTCTTTGGAACATCCTCTTGGCTTTGTAACCACATGGTCTCTGTCATTTACTGAAGTTACAAATACGCATCTCAGAAAGTTTTCTGCCTGTGTTTTGTTTTGGTTTTCTGTGCTCATCTCTGCTAGCCTTCTTGGCTGAGACAAAAGAAAGTTGGGTTATTTGATTGTGTTGTATGGGAGTTTTTCCTCCTGTATTCAGCTCTGGCCATTCCTCAAGTCCAGTTTTGGGCCCCTCACTGCAAGAAACACATTGAGGCCTTGGAGTGGGTTCAGAGAAGGGCAACAAAGCTGGTGAGGGGTCTGGAGCACAGGGCGTATGAGGAGCAGCTAAAGGAGCTGGCAATGTTCAGCCTGGAGAAGAGGAGGCTCAGGGGAGACCGCACTGCTCTCTGTAACTGCCTGAAGGGAGGTTGTAGTGAGCTGGGGTCGGCCTCTTCTCTCGTGTAACTGGTTATAGAACTAGAGGGAATGGCTTCAAGCTGAGATTTAGGCTGGATGTTAGGAAATACTACTTCTCTGAAAGGGTGGTCAGGCAGTGGAATGGGCTGCCCAGGGAGGTGGTGGAGTCATTGACCCTGGTAGTGTTCAAAGAATGTTTGGATTTTGAGGGATATGGTTTAGTGAGAACTATTTGTGCTGGGTGGATGGCTGGACTGGATGATCTTGTAGGTCTTTTCCAGCCTTGGTGTTTCTGTGATTCTGTGCTCATCTCTGCTAGCCTTCTTGCTGAGACGAACGGGCTTAGGGATATTTGATTGTGCTGTGTGGGAGTTTTCTTCCCCCCCGCCATCTAAAGGAAAATAAAACAGCTCAAAATAGAAGTTTTTTTTTTTTTTTTTTTTTTAAGTTGTTAATAGTTTTTTAATTCTTTGGCTTAGAGGACTCTGGTTTATCTCTCTGTTTTCTGCTGGATATTCCTGACTATCTGAATGAAAAATCTCTGTAGAACTAAATCCCAGTAACACCAAATTATTCAGGAATTCTGCGTAATGTGAGGACTCTCAGGAATTGGTAGAAGCAGCACTTTGTTTCATATGTATCACTGATTAGTTATCGCATTCCTCAGGTTCTGGATTTGAGCTTGGGCCCCACAGTGCTGCAGGCTGCTTCAGACACCTTTAGAGCACGTTTCATGCAGTGGCTGGGCACGTCTCATGGGATTGCCAGTGCTGTGAGATAGCAGAGTGCAGTCCTTGATTTCTGCAAGTTGCTTCTTGTACAGAGTTGGACTCCGTGATCCTTGTGGGTTTTTTCTCACTTGTAGTATTCTATGATTCATTTTTTATTTTCATTGCAAATTCTCATAGTTTTTCTGTTTGTTTATTTATTATTTATTACTGTTTATTTTTTGATATATTTTTTTTTCTTCTCCTTTAAGTATCAAAATAGGCAAATAGGCCTTAAATTGTCTCACACAGAACGTGCCTTAGCATTGCCTTGATTTTGAGAGCATGGCCAGACCTTATTCTGCAATAGCAAACATAATGCTACAGGTGGGGCTGGAGCCAGATGTGTGCAGTTCCCTTCTTTCAGCTGATGTCTCTGACATAGTTCCAAGCTGTGGTCTTCTGCTCTGTATTCCACCTGCTCTGTTACATGTCTTTTCATACACGTGGCCTTTATCAAAGAAAAAATGCATGAGAAATGCTACTTCTGCTCTTATTACAGAGAATGCAGGAGTCTAAAAAGCAGTTTGTAGAATCAAGGTTGTATTGATTGATATCTGTTTGTATAAAGAGTTACTGGAAGAATCACACTTAAGATATTCTGAAGAACGTTAGAAAAGGTCAGTGTTGAAATCACTTTTGAAACACTGATGTTCAAAGCTGAAATGAAGGTGAAATTAGGTTAAAAACTATTTGTTTTGGATCGGGGAGGAGTAGAAGCCTCGATAGTCTTGATTTTTAGACACTTAATTTTTTCTTATTCTGACTTAGATATTATATTCAGTAAGAATATTGAATATTTTGTGTTGAGTATTGAATAATATATTGAGTAAGAATAAAAACAACAATGTGTAAGAGCAGTGCTGCCTGTGGCATGGGGTTTGGAACGTGATGATCCTTGAGGTCTTTTTCAACTGAAGCCATTGTATGGTTCTATGAATCTGTGACATTTATAAGGCTGTAAAAGGTATAAATCCAGCTGTAGTACCCAGATCCCTCTAGTCCATTGGCAATAGGTTTATTTTTCAGTACTGGCTTTGTATTATGGATGTACCATTCTCAAATCTTTAGATGCCCAATCCACCATCTCTACCCTTTCAATGTTTCGTTGGCAATCAGAGAAAGAGAAGCATAGAGAAAATGATTGCTTTTAGTCCGTTTTGCCTGGAAATAGATCTGTGTGCAGTTATGACCCTGGGGTAAGTTAGTAATGAAAGGTTTTAATATTATGTGCTTTAAGCATGTTTATTTTGGACATATAGCCTTATGCATTTGTTTACGTTATTTTTCTGGAGTTATGTTAGTAATCTGGATTTTGCATTTACATGGGTTAAGAGGTACTCGTTGTCATGGATAGAGTGGTGAAAGGATCTTATTTTAAATTACCTCTAAATATTGAGCACTGCATTATTGTTTGGTGTAATTGTCTGCTCGCTTAGCCTCTTCAGCTGAAAAGCTTTATTCCATCCACTGTGCTTGAAAATTGCTTCTCTTCTTTGTTTGTGAAGAGTGTAGAATAAACTGTTGCTTCGTTCTGTGTGTTCCCCCATGCTTTCTTATCAAATATCCAAAAAATGTTAGAAGCTGTGGGATACGAAGCACCGTTGATGAGTAAGACAGCATTTGAAAATACAAGAGGTTGCATAGAAGTCTTCTACATTTCTGAAGGCCTTTTTCTTATAGAACAGCTCTCCCAAGTAGGCTACTAATTGTGAAGAATTCTGTTTTCTGTGCACTTGTCCTGATAATGTAGCACACTTTGGAGTGTGTCCTAAACCTTTTCTGTTACTTTCTCAACCAGGAGAAACTGCAGATGGTGTCAGTAAATCTGTTCATCGGGTCTTTGCATCCATGATTGGGGAAAATGAAGATGAGGAAGAGGATGAAGAGGAAGAGGAAGAAGAAGAGGAAGAAACTACTGAGCAACCCACAGCTGGAGATGTTTTTGTGTTGGAGATGGTACTTAACCGAGAGACTAAGAAAATGATGAAAGCAAGTATTTATACCTTCACCTAACTTCTCTGTGTTTCATGAAGTATAGTAAATAAATGCTGCTTTGTACCATCTTAGCTATTGCTGAGAGGCTTGCCTGAAAATAATGCTGTGTAGGATGCTTCTGCTTAAGTTGGTGTGTCCTTTCTGGTTTTCTAGAAAATTACTGTAGGTTCCTGTTTGAAAACTTTCAGAAATAACCGAGTGAGTCTTTTCCAGTGTCTGGATTTTATTTGTGTTAGGTATTGGAGTTACTCTGTCAGTTATGAAAATCAGCAAATACCTTGGTCAGTCATTTGAACTCGCCCTTAAATAGTTTGTTGTTTGGTTGTTTGAAGCACAAGTGTAGCTGAGGTCTCCTGAATTTGGACATAACCGAATCATTGGTAGAAATAGTTTCTCTTTTCTGTTTAGGAGAAAAGGCCTCGCAGCAAGCTTCCTCGTGCATTGAGGGGTCTGATGGGAGAAGCCAATATCAGGTTTGCTCGAGGAGAACGGGAGGAAGCTATTCTGATGTGCATGGAAATCATTCGACAAGGTATTGTAGAGCGGTACAAGATTTTGGTTTCAGAAATGGGATGAAATTGCCACGTGTATCAGGAAATTCACTGTGGCTTCCCTGGTGAGGAAAATACTCAGCACACAAGGTGTCATTGTGTAACTAGCATGAAATTTAGGAGTACGTGGTGCGTTTCCGGTGGTGTTTTGCTTTTGAGAAGAAAGTAGCACCCTAATTCTGCAGCTTTACACACATTACTTTTATTGTCTTTGTAGAACTAGAAGGAAAATACAGAGCCATTGGCGTGACTTCTGATGTAAAAAAAAAAAAAACAAAAAAAACAAAAAAACAAAAAAAACACTGCAAATAGTTGTGAGGTTCAGTCAACCTCTTTAATGATTTATAGAAAAGGAACTGGAAACCTGCCTGCAAAATTTATTTTCTGAACTCAAACAATGATGTTGATGTTTCATACACCCGTGATATCTGTAGTTAGAAGAAAGTAAAGTTACTTGTTGTCATGTCGTTCTTAAAACAACAGTTCTGAACTGTTCTCTTTGTCTTTTTGTAGCTCCTCTTGCTCACGAGCCTTTCTCCACTCTTGCCATGATCTATGAAGACCAGGGTGATATGGAGAAGTCATTACAGTTTGAACTGATTGCTGCTCACTTGAATCCTAGCAATACAGAGGAATGGGTCAGGCTGGCAGAGATGTCACTGGAGCAGGACAATATTAAACAGGCTATTTTTTGCTATGCAAAAGGTAATGTAGCAGTAATTTTAATATTTTAAAGGAAATGTTGGGTGCTGATGATGATGGCTATATTTTCTTCTGCTTTCTCTTTTAGTTTGTTGCAGTTTGTTAGGATTCTGCTACCTCTGTCCAGACGTTGGTAACAGATCCATGAATCTTTAATGTAGGATGATGTCCTTTTCTTACAGAAAGCTTTTGTGTGTGTGATAACGTGTCTGCTGACATTCTGTCAGTCGTGTTACCTTATGATTTTGGAGAATAAAAAAGAGTCTTAGTTGAATCTGTTTCACCAGGAGCATGTATGTGTTTTGCAGTCTGTTTTGTTTCCCTCAGGATGTAAATACTGCTTTTTCTGTTAGCTATTATCTATTAGAAACTGCTGATGTTTGCCAGGGCTTTGGCAGTGGTGTAGATGAATGTGAAATCTGTTATTGCTTTTTTGCTCAGCTCGACTACTAGCATGCTTTTCCTTGTTACAGCTTTGAAGTACGACCCAACCAATGTGCGTTATCTATGGGAGAGATCAAGCCTGTATGAGCAGCTGGGGGAACATAAGTTGGCTATGGACGGCTACAGGCGTATTTTGAATCTTCTGTCTCCCTCTGATGGAGAGCGGTTTATGCAGTTGGCTAGAGACATGGCAAAGTAAGTTGGGCTTCAAAAAAGGTACAGTTTGGTTTGCCAAAGCTTCTCGAAGTCTGGCATTACTGAGCTCTTTTGCTGATTCAGATTGGGTATGCAGCTGAGATCGGGGCACAGGGGTGCATCTGCTGGGGGGTGATGAACATGCAAGCGCACACCCCTCATGTACTGTGATGTTTCCAGCTCCTGACTTGTGGGAAGTATTCTGTGCACAGTCAGTGCATCGTCACAGAAGTGTTGTACTCAGAGTAAGAGAGTAAAATACAGGTATCAACTACAAAAAAAGCCTATAGTATACAATTGTATACAAATACAGTACATTTCTGTATCTGTGTAGTATCGCTAGAGACTCGGAACCTTACTGCTGACAACTCAACATGGAAGAAACTATTCAGTGTGAAATGCAGTCTTCAGCACAATAGTATGTGTGGGTTCTGATTTGTTGCTGGAGTAAGTAGACATCTTCCCCTTGTCTGCAAATGGGTGCAGATCAAGTCATAGAAGTTACCCTGTGGCAGAGGAGGTTGATAGTTAAATGTGTGGCTCTTATAGCTCTTAGTAAGCTAACTACTTTCTGATGTATAACTTACAGAAAGATGTCATTGGACTGTTTGCCAGTAGATAAGTCTTTTGATTTTCTTGGTCATGAAATGTACCTTAAAAAAAAAATGCAAGAAGTGTTACAATATGATTGTTGGAGTTTTCTGTCAGACCAGATTAATGCAATACACTGCTGATATGTGGCTCGAGGTGAGAGATTGTGTAATGAAAACTGCTGTTATTTCCTAGCATATAGAGGATTATAATATCTTATAGAGAGGATTATTAGTAATTATTTGAAACACATAAAACATTGTCAAAAATTGTAAGGAAAGACAAACTACCATCTTTCTCACTGTTTTTCATAGTTTATCCTCCCTAATGAATACATGAGGTCTGCTCTGAAAATCACGCCTCCTATTTTATGATGTTGGCCCATGATGTCAGAAGCAGATATTGGTGGTGTGGCAGTAGAAGCTGAACTTTCCCCCCATATCCCATTACACGTTGTTGGTGTGTGAGAGATGGCGGCAGAGGGGCAGTTTGACAAAACAGTGTCTGACATGGAAGTGTGGATGAAGCAAAGATGTGGCATTGAGTTCCTCCACAGGGAAAAAAATGGCACCCACTGACTTTCATCAACACTTACTGAACGTTTGTGGAGACCAAAGAGTGGATGTGAGCCCAGTGAGGCAGTGGGTGGTGCATTTCAGTGATGACAACTGTGTGAAGGGTGAGCCACGTTGTGAATGGCCATGTGGATTTTTACAAGCGTGGCATTCAGACTCTCATTTATTGCTAATGAAAATGCAGAGCTAGTGGTGATGCCTCCATTGAAAAACAGTGTTTTGTAACTGGGAATTCGCTCCATCAAATAGTGCTATTGTGTTCTTTGTCTCTTTTGTAGTTTCCATGGAAACAAATAGGAATTACTTTTGGAGCAAGCTCTGCTGATTAACAAAAGTAAAAGCAAAGAAATACGAAAAACCTTTTGCTTGTGATCAAAGTACCTCTTGTTAATTATCTCATATACTTAGTATGTCTTGCCTGCATTTCATAGGAGTTATTATGAAGCCAATGATGCTGCCTCTGCTATTGAGATCATAGAAGAAGCCTTTACTAAACATCAGAGCCTCGTCTCCATGGAAGATGTTAATATAGCAGCTGAACTGTATATTTCCTGCAAGCAGTATGACAAAGCATTGGCGGTATGGAGAACTACGTGCATTTGCCTGTTGTGTTCAGCAACTGCCATACAGAATGGACAGTTTATATTCCTGTAGTTCTTAAATACAGTCATATTTCTGTGGCAATAGAGCTGATCAGGTTGCTTCCAATTAGTTCTGTGGTAATCAGCACTGAAGTTAACGCTGGGGCTGATAAGACTCTTTTGCTGTTCCACATTTAAAGTTTTGGGGTCTTTTCTCTCCTTCTCTACAACTACCATAACCTCAGTAGCCAGGGGATAGCTATAAGCTGATTTTGGGTCTGTTGTACTACCAGCAAAGGGCATTCAATACGGTGAAGCTTAAAAGAGTGGCACCAAATGGCTTAATGCTTCACATGCCCACACACTTGTGCTTTATCTGGTATACCTGTGATATAACTAATAATTTTTGCTTTAAATATCAAGCACACATTCCAGTACACAAGATTCAGCTCTGAGACTTAAGGAATTTGAGAAGATCACTCTATTCCCAATTCATTGTTGTGGTTATTACCCCTCGCTTCTGTGCCTGTTTCCTATTTGGTTTGGTCTGGCTTTGAGAAGAACATTGTAACAATCTGACCATTATAGTTCCCCAAATTAGAGTGAAGAGCCACTAACAATTGGGACCTTCTCCTTCTAAACATCTTTATTTGCTGATTTTACTTTACTTCTTCATATTTTTCCTATGTAAGGTTTTTTGTTCTTTGTCAGTGCAAAGCATTACAGGCCTGCGGGCAGTTCTACCAACTCTTCCCTGTGTACCTCTTTCTGGTTTAAAAATTCAAACAGGTAATTCTCTGTACTCAGTATTTGGGTACAAGATTTGTTAATGCAGCACTCAGTTGTAGAACTGTTCTGTGTTTCTTTCTGATGGTTCTACGCAGGTCTCTTGCTCTGATGGTGTTTCTTGTTCCTGGATAGCTGAATCTGTATTTAAGTTAGTAAATAGAGGGCCGTGTGTTTATTTGACACTCTTGTTTTGGCAATGGTAATTATTACCTAAACATTTACTTTACAATTCTTGAATGAAAATGCCAAATGGCACTGGATCTCAAACCAACAATCCTTTGCAGTTCTGTGTTTCTCCTCTCGCAGCCCTCTGTGGACAAGTGAATGTCTCGACTAGTCTGTCTTTGATTTTCATTTCCTTACTAAATTGTTCTGTTGAATTGTGCTGGTTTTACTGAGGTTATAATGCATGAGCAGGGCTTTTGTAAAATGTCTGACTGTAGGTATCTGTGAATCTTGTTTTACCTGTTTTAAACTGAGATGAACTGTGCAGTTTCCTTGCGTTGTGTTAGGATGAGCAAACCTAGGAGTGCTTTGAAAAATCTATGGAAAACTTAGCTGTTTACGTGGTGATTTGCTTTCTATACCTATCTTAAAGCTATGAAAAGGAGCTAAAAATGTTTAAACAAAACTTTTCCAGTTATGATGGAAGTTACTGTTTTATTTCCTAAGGAGCTGCTGATTAGACCAAAAATAGTGGATAAAGACATAGGGTGATGAAACCCTATACTAGTGAGCTAGCCCTAAGTGAAAGAAAGGCTGCCTTTCTTCTGACAACCTCTGTGATATCTGAAGAAACTGCCACGTAGGCTGATTGCTGCATATATCCTTAAAGCCTTTTAAATGATCTGAGTTATTCTTCTGTTTTAGGTTATTACTGATTATGCAGGAATTGTTCTTGAGAGGAAAGCATCAGAAAAAAGTCCTGCTGAGGAGAAAAAAGGTAAGTATTTAACAGATGGTTAGTATGGCCCTTCTGTTCATCTCATATGACATTTTTCTTCTGTTCATCTAGCGTGACGTTTTTCTTTCCATTACCTCTTCAACTCATAGGTGTGTTTTGACGCATATTGACAGAGAGTTTCACTTCTGAAACTCTTCAGTGTCTTTAATGAGTTACATTGCATGACCTCAGCGTTCTCTGAGGAGTTACTCTGATGTCCAATTAGCTCTGGTGACTCATTAGGGACAAGGACTACCTTCCCTGCAATCGGGGGCCTTTTAAAGTTCTCAACATTCCTCTGAGTGATGATGTCAGGCCAGTTATTTATTTCTGCTAGCTAAATAACTTCTGAAAAAAAATCTGATAAAGTTTGTGTTATCTATTCTCAAGAACATCAAGCTTTGACCTGAAACTAATATGTTGTAAATTATACTTATTTTCCTAAACATTTAAACGTTGTGATGCGCAGATATCTAGGGGTATTTGTCTGCAGTTTTGACTTGAGTGAAACAGGTCCTCTTTAAGAAATCTGTTTTATGACAGCCATCATTCAAGTCTAAAGGTGTTTCTGTTTGGGCTGTAGAGTGACCCCAGCATGCCAGCTCTGTAGCAGTCTGTTCTGTAATTGAACATGACAGTTGTTTTGGTAATCTAGTCCAAACCCATCATAGGTATAATCCACACTTGATTGGTTTGCACAATTAAGTAATTCTTGCCTTAGCTGGTGCTACTGAGAGTAATCTCTTTCCCTTAAGATGATACAGCAGCAGTGGTAGAAACTGAGGAAAGCCAGGAGGCAGTGACTGACAACCAAGGTGATCCGGCTGTTGAATCGAGTGCTGCAGGTAAGTAGCTGAGCTGCTTAATCTGGTGGAAATCTATGAACTGATCATATACTCAGGAATCAAGTTGGAATCATAGCAAAATCATGAGAGTTTCTAGCAGTAGGGAAATAGGGCTTGATCCAGGAGAGGTTCCTTGCATCCTGTTGTCTTTACTCAGAATTTACTGTTAACGCATCCAGCCATCAAAGTCAGAACATTCTCCCAGGACTCACACCCAGTTTGAAAATAAAATTCTTTATTTCTGTGTGAATTGACCAGTAGGTGAATGATTACTCTTGTGCTGGTTGAGAATGATGAAGTAATCTGCACGCTGTGATTTGCTGTAACTGTATGTGGATGTAGAAGCTCACAGGATAGCCTTGAGTTGGAAGTCACTATTTTATCAGTTTTTAATGGTCACCCTTTAAATGTTCAGTGTAAGAAGTAAGGTAAAGGAGAACTTGAACACAGTGCTTTGGATGTGTAGTGACTGGTTGTGCAGGAAATGCAATAGGGAGGTTTGTACCAGTTTGGTAGCGCTCATGCTTTCGTTCTCATCAGATTGCATTTGTTCTGTGTGTAACATAATGTTCTGTAGTTATCTGTATCTAACTGTATACAAGTACAGCCAGCTCCTTGATACACAGCACTTAGTTTAATAGGGAAAAATAATTTAATATAGGATATTTCCTAGAGAAAGTGAGGAGAAGAGGTTACGGGTGCCTATATTCCTAAAGAAAAGCTTTACAAAACAAGCCCAGAGGGGGAACACTGAACACATCATACAGATCCTGCTGTTGAAGTCAGTGCAGACTGTGATAGCTCTAGATATTTCAGATAAAATGGTAAGGATCAGGGAGATGAGAACGAACTTCTTCCAGCTAGAGATAAGTTATAAAAGAAGGGAAGAGAGCAGGCCTATACCAACATATGCTAGAGTCTGAGTATTCTTCTCTTTGTAGCTCACCATAGGCTGGAGAAGATGTGGGGCTCTGTGAAATGGTTGTTAAAGCTTAAGGGCTCAGAGAAAATTTTTTCTTCTTTCCACAGCTGTGGAGAAGGTTAGCTGCTGTATACCTGAAGGGGTTCCCATAGACATCACAGTCAAGCTGATGGTGTGCTTGGTACACTTGAACATCCTAGAGCCTCTCAACGTAAGTAGAAACAAACTCAGAAGTCAGGGGATAAATTAACAAAGCAAATGATTTTTTCCTGTCTTCATATGACTGAGGTCATTAAGAGGGCTTTGGGGATTCTTTTTGCTTTTCTTCCACTCCAAGACAGATGCCTAGCAAACCTCTTGTAGCTGAAATGGTATTTTTGTCCTTATATGTTATGCCTTCAGCTGAAAATATTTCCAAGGGGCAGTAACTGAAAAACTGTGGGCTATGTTAGGCCAGGGACCACGCTACCAAATTTGGAACACTAAGGAGCATACCTTGACTTTGTTTTCAAGCCCTAATAGATCTTAATGTTCTTATGAAAGATAGGATGAGTATGATGTAAAATGTCTGGAATAGTAAAATGTGGCTTTTTCAGCAGTTGTGAAATTCAAATCTTTATCTTTCACTTCTAAAGTAATATTGAAGTGAAAGAAGTATGGCTCAAAATGCAAACTGCATAAAAAATATAGCCTAAAAAGGAGCTTCCGAAAGCAGATCTTAAAGCAGTGTTGTTGGTGACTATTTGTGGGTTTTAGTATTTTGTTTGTTTGCTTGCCTTTAAAGCCTCTGTTGACCACTCTGGTGGAACAAAATCCAGAAGAAATGGGTGACTTGTATTTGGATGTTGCAGAGGCATTTCTGGATGTTGGAGAATACAACTCAGCCCTGCCTCTCTTGAGTGCCCTCGTCTGTTCTGAACGATACAACTTGGCTGTCGTCTGGCTTCGGCATGCAGGTTAAGGGGGGGCTGCTGAAAAACGTGGTACTGAGGGATGGTAGCACAGTGCTGAGTATTTCCAGGGAACTTTATCTGAGATCACTGGAATTTAGATGCACATGTTGAACAATAATTTGTATTTGCAAAACTATAACTGGAGTTTATTACGGCAACTCTGCCGTGAGGGCTTTGTCCTTGTTGGAGACTGAGATTACCTTCAGCTACGAATACTTTATTTTCATCTAAATGAACAGCATCTCTTCTGCATTCCATTTTGTATCAACTGATGATGCTTAAGTGGATCTACAGATGCATCAGTGCTTATTTCTGAATGTTTTCAATTTAATAATATATGTATCTAGTGGTTTTAACTGGAAGAGCATCTGGAAAGTACGTTAACTATTTTGCTAGCATTTAATCTTCTTTTTCTGTCATTTAAGTATATGATGTGTTGTATGGTATATCTAGAGTGCTTGAAGGCTTTGGGACACATGGAGCGTGCCGCAGAGAGCTATGCTAAGGTTGTTGATCTTGCTCCATTGCATCTGGATGCAAGAATCTCACTTTCAACACTACAGCAGCAACTGGGCCGGCCTGAGAAAGCTCTGGAGGCTCTGGAACAAATGTATGATCCAGATACACTGGCTCAGGATGCCAATGCTGCCCAGCAGGTGAGCAAGGTGTTTTCTTTGCTTCTAGTTTAGGATATGGCATTTGACAGATTACAGTAGTATTCAAAGATGTTAATGGTGTAGGACCAGAGATTGACACGTGTGGTTTTCTAGCAGATTTGACAGTTCTATTAATTCTGTGTTGCATTAATAATTGTTTGTTTCAATTTTTGTGACTGGTTGAGTAATGATATTTGGTGTTACCTAGGAATTAAAGTTACTCCTCCATCGTTCTACTCTGCTGTATTCCCAAGGCAAAACGTATGGTTACGTAGACACTTTACTGACTATGCTGGCAATGCTATTGAAGGTAAGCCTGTCTTTGCTTTACCAAACTGGACAGCTTTACCAAACTGGACTAGCTACAAGTTGGGTTAAGACAAGGGGCAAACAAGCTGAGGAACAAAACTAGTGGTTTTGATATGCAAGTATTTTCTTAGTTTTGTTGGATGGAAATCCTGCGGAGAGCCTTCTAATTCTTGAGGCCTGTAACCATGTTGTTTTTTGCTCTTCAGAACAGAGCATCATTTGTGAATATAATTCTCAATACATTTATTTCAACTCCCTGTTTCTGAATATATGGAGAACATGGCAAGTGCTGAAGTTGCTTCTTATCTGTTTAGGAGTCAACATAATGCTTTTTTCAGATTTACTTTTGTTTAGATACTAGATTGTATTTTAATAATTTCATGTTGAATTATGTAATCTATGATGTTATTTTATTTAATTATGTAATCTATGATGTTATTTAATGAGCAATTTACTTAGTTAACAAATACAGCAGTGTTATCTGTTTTATTTTGTTATTTTCCCTTCTTTCACTCAGAAGTGAGGGAGGGGAATATTTAAGCCTTGATTCTATCCATTTGATTTGATCCATTGCTGTTCTATTACACTGACTGAACAGCTGACCATCCACATCCTTCTAGAATTGATACTGGCAGAATGGTGTTGTTTTTGTTCTGCCTCTATGCAAACAGTTTTGATTTGAATATGTGCAGGGATGTTCCAATCCCAGGAGAAGTCTTAAAGTCATTGGGAGAGTTTCTGTCTTTCTTCTGCATAGCCCAGTTTGCAGTGAAGTATGAGACAGTGCAGAGATAATATACCTATTGGGAATGTTATCTTGTGTGATCTTGCTCTGTTTGGCATTTCTATGCAGCAGACTGTTTTAGCAGGCCATGTGAGCATCGTCATAACGCTGTACCTGAGATGGGATTTATTACTGTGATTTGAAATGCTGCCTTTAAATTTGTCTCTAGGTAGCAATGAGCAGAGCTCAGGTGTGTTTGATATCTAGCTCCAAGTCTGGAGAGAGGCACCTCTACCTTATTAAGGTGCCAAGGAATAAAATTTCCGACAATGATGACCAGGAGGCAGCAAACTGTGATGCGAAAGGTAACACATGTTTATTAAAAACAAAGCAACAAGATTAACTTCTTTATCTTGAAAAGGAAACAAATGTTAGTATTTTGCTTGCTAAATCCGTGCAAACGTCGTCGTATTTCTAGGGCAAGGAAGGCAGCAAATGTGAGGTAATATAGCTTCAGGGAGCAATGCTCATTTGGAGAAAAACAATAAAATTACTGAATAATTCAGATAGAGAAGGACATGTAGAGACCATATGGTCCCAGCATTCCTCTCAGCACAAATACGTAATGCATGCAGCCCTAGAAAATAACAGAAATATGTGTATCTCTTTTAAGAGCCACGTGATTATTGAACTGAACAGACTCAGTTAAACCACACTACAGTTTCTTCAGCACTGTTTGAAAGATGAAGAGGAGTAACTTTAATGCATTCCTTTGCTGTGTTTACAACTCAGAATGTATTTCTTATCATTTGTTCCCAGTTTTGCCTGTTTTCTGCTTGCATTTTATAAAATGCTCTTACAAGTGGAAAAAGAAGTGAATGATTTATTTTGCCAGTTAATGCTGAGACTTTTCTTAAAAGATCAGTTTGTATGCACGTTTTTGTGTGTTGTTTTTTTTTTTCTTTTTAAAGATTTTCTCTCTTGTTTCAACTTTGTTGACTTACTGCCTTCAATATTTTCAGCGATTTTTGCTGTTCTCACGAGTGTTTTGACAAAGGATGACTGGTGGAACCTTCTCCTGAAGGCTATATATTCCCTGTGTGACCTCTCCCGGTACAAGGAGGCTGAGCTACTAGTAGATTCCTCATTGGAATATTACTCATTTTACGATGACAGACAGAAGCGCAAGGAGCTGGAATACTTTGGGCTTTCCGCTGCAATCCTGGACAAGAACTTCAGAAAAGCCTACAACTATATCAGGTAGGGAACTGAGAAGGCAGAGCAGTCTGTTCTCTACTTCCTATGAGGCTGTAGTCGTACTGCTGGATTTCTGAAGGAGGGAGGTTAGTGCCTTCCAGCTTTCCCTGAAACAGAGAAGCCTGCTGAAGCACAAGGAGTTGCTCATGGCCTTTGATTACAAAATACCGTGTAATGCAGTAGGTTGTTTGCTTAGTCTCAAACCCTTGGTTCTGTCTTTCATCGCCAGCTTTCCCTCAGTCACTGAAGCTGTTTTTATTGCAGGAGTAGCATTTGCCGTGTAGCGTTTACTAATTTCTCGTATGGTTTTCGTTCTGTAGAATAATGGTAATGGAAAATGTCAATAAACCTCAGCTGTGGAACATCTTCAATCAAGTTACTATGCAGTCTCAGGATGTCCGTCACCATCGCTTTTGTCTCCGCTTAATGCTGAAAAATCCGGATAATCATGCACTGTGTGTCCTAAATGGGCACAATGCGTTTGTATCTGGCAGCTTCAAGCATGCTCTTGGTAATGTCCTTAGTCTTCTAATTTTAGCAAATACAAGTCTATACTCTTTTTTGTTTTCTTTTTTTTTTTTAATGGAAGAAACAGTCATTTTTTCATATCTCACAAAATTCTGCGTGGCTTCATAGTATTAACCTGATAGTTGGATTGTGTTGTACCAAATCAAAGCATCAGTGCAGTTTTCCTAATAAGAATTAAGCTGATTTATTTTTATTTTTATTTTTTTTTTTCAAGTTTAGGATGCATAGCAAAGATAACCAACTTGTAAAGATAACAGAGGGCTGATGGTAATAAAGATGAGGAAAGACAAAACCAGAATAATTTAAATAGCAAATAATGTTGATTGGACATGTTTAACACGCCTTGGAAGTAAGCCTGTTGTTTTAAGATGCCTCCAGGTGTCAAAATTGAGATGTGTTGGAGATGGAGATGCATGTTCCATTAATCTTCAGCAGCAGCAATTATTTGTTTTCAGTGTAATGCAGGAAAGCCTTAGTCATGGCCGAGGGGTCACACTGTGCTAGAGACAGTAGTATGTCATTATGTCATTTATCTTTCCAATGCTCTTAGGTAATACTTTTTTTTTTTAATTTGTTCAGTTTGTTTTTCAGTGTTTAATACATAGGGGAATAATTGTTCTTTTCTGTGTCTTTATTTCAACTGCATAAACAGACAGTTTAACCTAAATGATGAAACTGAACTTCCAAAACCTGTCTGTTGCACGCGGTGTTAATTCTCCACACATTCAAGGTATAAATCCTAGCAAGGACCTTGTTTGCTTTCTGTACCTGATAGTTTTGTGTTTACATTTTTACCTCACAGCTTGTATTCTTCAGAATCCCAAGGAGTGCTGAAAATGTAACGATTTCTTAGTGGTATTTTTTTAATGAATACTTTAAAGTAGGAATGTTAAACTGTTATTTTTTTTCTTAGCTCACACGCAAAATTTGCTGTTTGCTTTTAGGACAGTACGTGCAAGCCTTTCGTGCAAACCCAGATGAACCTCTCTACAGTCTTTGTATTGGCTTAACCTTCATCCACATGGCTTCTCAGAAATATGTGTTGAAAAGGCACGCTCTTCTGGTTCAGGTAAATTAGTATATGATGATTTTTACCTGTAGTGTGTCCTGGCTTTGTATTTATAGACAGGTGGGACTGCAACATGTTGTGTGTAAATAACGGCTCCTAATTAATACAGCATTTCAAAAGAGAAATAGTGAAACACAAATACAGATGAGTGTGCTTCTGAACTATGTTTTGGCTGAATCTCATCTTCTCTTACCTAAAGGTAGCTTGTTCTGTTTTTTTTTTTTTTACACAGTGGTTATTGTATTAGACACCCATGTTTGTGAAACATGACTAATTCCAGCCTCAATGCTATAGTTTGGATTTTATTTCTTATTTTTCTTTTTGCTTTGTTAAACTTGTTATTCAGCTTTGAAGAAGTGCCACAGAGTAGAATCTATGCCACATACCCTAAATGGACATGTCTCATAAGCTCCATAGTTTTCTTAAAACTTTCCAGACTTAGAAGGCATTAAATGTGGTTGTTTCTTTTCTTGTCATCTTTTTCTCTTCCTCTTTTTGGTGTCCCTATATAGCTCTCATTGCAAAGATCTCGCAAGCTCTGATTTAGGCTACCCTCAGTTTTTCAGGTTTCTTATTCATAGTTTTCTTTCATCTGCCAGATGCAGTTACAAACCACAGGCTGATTGTGCCCAAATGGAATCTTGAAAGTCATTCCCTGTATTCTCCTTCAGCACTGAAATTCCTTTAAACTCCTGTGGCCTCCAAGCTCAGTCAGCAGAATGTGGTTAGGACCTCCTTAAGCTCTCATATATTTCTAGCCTGTTAAGAATTTGGCTTTTACTTAGATTGTGACAAAAGGTGCAGATCTCTCTAAAACAAGACCAATTATCTTAGTATCCAACTTAGAGTATTTGAAGTTTTCAAACTTGGGCCTAATTTTAGTATGTTCAGCCACTTCTTTCTGTAGTCAGCTTGCCTTTCTTATCTAGACTGCTGCGTTCTCCTTTATAACGTGTCCTATTTATGTTACCCTCTGGTGATACTTCTCCCTGTTTTTCTCTCTCAGTATTTGCTTTATGACAGTTTATTTTTACATCCTCTCCTGTTCCTATTGTAGTTGATTAATAATTCAGCCATAGAAACACACTGGTGACATAAAGCAAGATCATTAGCTGCTAGTTTCTGAACTAATTCCTCATGTTGACGGAGCTGTCTTCTCTGTCTACCAACACAATCGCTGAAAGAAAGGCCACTGTTGGCAATGGAACCAGCATATTCCAAAGCATTAATAAAAGAAATGTAAGTTTCTGCATGGGAAAGGATGAAAAACTCTGCTCCGATTTTTTTCCTTCTGAATTCCTCTCTTCTTCCTATTCTTAAGCTTTCCACAAGGCTTGTTCAGTGTAAAGCAAAACACTGCATTTTAATATAATACTGTATCTTTATCTTTTTTTTTTTTTTTTTTTTTGTTGGAGGCAGTTCTGGTCTAATGCCAGTCATTTTTTAGCATCATATAAACCTTAAACAATGACCAAACCACACACACATTATAACACCTTTTTTCCAGTGTATTTTATAGCTGTCTTCTTAACGGGAACATTTACCATGTGTGTAAAATGTGTACAGGGATTCTCCTTCCTTCACCGCTATTTGGACCTACGTGGACCGTGTCAAGAAACTTTCTACAACCTTGGCCGTGGCCTTCACCAGCTGGGGCTACTGCATCTGGCAATCCACTATTACCAAAAAGTACTTGAGCTTCCTCCTCTCACCTTGGAGGTACAGTATCTTTGTGAGCTGCATACTGCAAGTGGTCAGGTCAATGTTAATTTCTCAGCCGTAGTTAAGTACTTAGGATCTGTGTAGTTGAGAACAATTCGTGGTGGAATTCTCTGACACTGAAAACCCAGATCTGATTGTTACCTGTTGTGCATGTGTTAATTTCAAAGGCATACATTTGGAGGGATTTACTAATAGGCTTGCATTAGCAGCAAAAAAAAGGTTGCCAAACTTTACCTGAATAGCTGAACTTAATCTGTATTGTGTGCAGTATTTTATGACTGGAAGTTTGTTGCCTAGCTTGGGCACAAGCAGGTAGAAAACTTAAAATGGGAAAGATTGGTAAGTGAAAAAAGGTTGGTGATAGTTGATATTGTGAGTTCAAAGCAGCATTATTTTGATGACATGAAAGATAAAGCAGCATTCATGTTCTGGTTGTAGAAACAAATATGTAACATGCAAATACAAATTTGGATAATACTTTACTGTTCTATCATTTGGCTACCTAATTTACAGCTAATATTTTGAGTATATCACAAGTACAATTCTTCAGTGATTAATAGCAGGTGGAAACTCATTATGAAGGGATGCTTTAGTTTCTGTGCACCTGAGTGTCTGTGTAAAGTAGTAATGTGTTATTAGACTGCACTTTAACAGCTACTTAAGTTTCACTTTTAAACCATCTTTGCATATAGATAACGTTTTGTTATTTTTACAGGGAATAGAAACCGATCAGACAGACTTGAGGAGAGATACTGCCTTTAACTTGTCACTTATTTATCACAGCAGTGGAAATACCAGAATGGCTCAAAAGATGTTATACACTTACGCAGTTGTGTGATGAAGTTTGTGGCAGGTAGAAATGATGGCCTTTGTATTAACTCTTGCATCATGCAGTGCTGGGAAACTGATTTTGTGCACGTCTTTTTCTGTATGTGGTCAAAGACGTGGCTTGTGCTGTGTATAGTTTGTATGCTGTATAAAGACTTTTTCTACTTCTGACGTTTGAACTACGTCACGTATAGATGGAAACAGTTTGCTCTGAGCACAAGGCTGACAAACTGATGAACTGCTTGATCTTTTGTGTAGAATAGAACAGTGAAAACTGAAGCCCAGTATTTTCTTTAGAAAAGTTTTCCGTGTGCAATACTAGAAATACTTACAAGCAAGGTTGTACTGTAATAAAGAAGAAAGAAATGGGCTTGTACTAATTTCTACAGGATGGAAAACTCGGTACTTCCGAGATCATTTAAGTGTTCAGTGTTGCTAGGAGTTCATATTCCTTGCAGCTGTTCTGCTACAAGGTTGATTTCTGTTCCGTTGAAATCCATGTTACTTTTGTCCTTCTGAACTTTTTAATAAAAATTCTAAAGTTAATGATTGTTTGTGCTTAGTTTACTCTTGTTTACTTGTTTACTCTTAGGAAAAAACAACAATAAAGCTTCCAAACAGAAAAAATTAATAATATCATTTAGCTTGTTGTTGAACATTGCAAACAGTCTGGATTTTTGAGTAGTTGTGACAGCTGAACAGCAGCACAGAGTGATAGAAGCAGGCAGCTCCCAACCTAGTGAGAGAGCAGTAAAGATTATATAGCTATATGGATATACAGGCAGGGTTCAGTGCTAAAGCAAAATAAGGCTGAAAAAGTATGCTGAATAGAAATCCAGCCATGCTGTTGCTTCCCAAGCACTTGTTGTTTACCCTATGACAGCTACCTACTTTTTACTTTCAGCTCATTTTCGTCTGTTTATGCTTCATTCTCCAATCAGTGCTTCAGAAATGAGTCTCGTGGAATTGTCTGTGCTAATTTTAAAGCTAAGACAAACTTTTATCCCAGATCAAATGTCACATAACAGTATATGGCATGTGCGCTTCAGTAGGGAAGTGCTGGGCCATACTGAGAATGCAGAGATGAGAATCAAACACAATGAAAATCTCACCAACTCTGGAAAGCACAGCATGTTTACTAGACTAGTTTACCAGATTAACTAGGAAACACTGCCCAAATCCAAGTCCTTGCTAAATTTGCAGAAATAACTGAAATGTTTTTTTCGTTTATATGTCAGCCTGTAGTATAGAAAATGCGTAAGGAAGAGAATGACTCCATCACCTCTGTTTCATTTTGTAATCTCTGTGCTGTCTCATCACCATCTGTGACATGACAGCCAACTGTTTGCTATGTAAACTTGCGCTGACTCGCAATGTGTGTACAAATGTGACATTATTGTATCAGCTTGGTGTAAAAAGTCTCAGTTGAAGTTTTCTCTATCGCTTCTTGGTCTCTTCACATCTTGTAACTCCTCTGATTATTTTTTTTTCTTCTTGCAGTGAATGACTCCTCTATCTCCACTTGAAATAGGCTTATCATGTCCTAGGAAGCACAGTCCTCAGCACTCAGTATTGAACTAATGCTTTGAAAACAGAAGCCAGAGGTCCAGTATACAGTTTCTCTTTGCATTACTTTTTTTCCATAACTGAGTCTGAAATGCTCAGAATCCTATTGCTTATGTATTTTATAAAATAGAAGAATTAGTAACAATTTCAGTCGATTATTACGTACATTACCAAACTACTTGACTTAATCATGGCATTTGTTAGTTTTTTATTGCTAAAGAGATATTTTATAAAGACACTAAAGGCATATGTAAGAGACTGCCTGTGAAAGCATTTACTGCTTGTTTTAGGAACCAAATACCAGTTTAGTTGTATTTACATGCATTGAAGATTGTAGAAAGCTACTAATTATCCATGTTCACCGGTGACCACAGACTGGGAGGAAGAAAAAATAACAAAAAAAGAAACCCAACCCACAATACTTAGAAGATGAATTTTTCAATACTGTGAATATAGTAGAACATGTGACTGTCAGGCTTAGCAACTATCAGCCACCATGGAAAAGCTACCAACGTAGAACTCATCTGTTGATCCTGCAAATGGCAGCAAAGCGTTAGTTTACTATACGTCTTTTTTGCAGCTATAAAGAGTAGAATTACAAGATCACATTTATAATGGACTTTTGATGCTTGAATGGATTTTATATGGTGGTTTTCCCCAAATCTTTTATAAAGAAGTAGCATTTTTGTAACTTTAACAGAGATACAGGCTTCTCATTTATATCCTTTATTTTTAATTGGTATGATTGCATCATTTGCTTCATTATGGTTGTCTTAGCACAAAGGAGACTTCATGTTTTCTTCTTACTGCTGGTTCTCAGTTTCTCCTGTAATTTAGTCCTATCAAAAGTAAAAGTCTATCTAAAACACGTCCTGGACGTTTGGAAGAGCTGTTTCATTCTGTGTGCATCCCGCAGAGCTGCATCGCTTGTTAAGGCAGACACAGCCAAGCCTTAAGGTAGTGTTAAAGGTAGGAGGGGCTGTGGTACAGTAATGCTTTACAATTGCACTGTTCTAATGTTGTTTTTTTTTTCCTGAAAACCCAAATAAGTGCAGAAGCAACAGTATGTGTTGAATGTATAATGAAATATTATGTGCAAACTTAAATACCAAGTTTAATGGCTGCAGGCATGTAATCAGACTCTATATGTCAATATATAAAGTAAAGTGTAGATGAAATTGTACTAAAGACAGCAGAGGATTCTGGAATAAGGGAGGTGTGCATAGCCAGCCCTTGAGATCCATTATGCCTTTGTAAGAACTCCTGCAGTGGGAAACCTGGGGGTGGTTGGTTCTGTTACCCTGCCAACAAGCCATGCAGTGCAGCTGCAGTGTGCTTTTTCTCCTTGCATGGGGTGGTAACAGCCATTTGTCTCTTGTTAGGCAACCTACTTACACATTCAATAAGGATTTGTTCATTAAAAACCTAAGGTATTAAAAATGCTAAAAACACTTCTAGAACACTTTGTCAACAATGATTACACTTTGAGTTAATGCCAAGCAAAACTAATGTAGTTTTGGCTGCTGTTTGGCTGGGGGCACTGGAGGTGGAGACATGCAGGTTGTGCTAAATCATCTAGGTCAGTGTAAGGAACAGGTGCAGTGAGTGCCAGATGATCTCTGAAAGAACTAGTTTGACTGGGATGAATCTAAAGTCACGCTGCATAGGCCTGCTTTTCAGCTGCACAACTTGATGAAGATGAGGTGAATGAAAAATATTTGCTGGCTTTCACAGTGCTCAGCCACCCTCGTCCTCACAGTATCCATCTGCTGAAAGGAGGTCTCTTTAATATCAGGTCTTTAAGAATTAGTCCAGGCTACTATTGTGTAAAGTTATAGTTTAGGACCAGATTTCTGTAGGAGCAGGGTGACTTAATGCCACTGCATCCTTGGGCTACTCCCAGGCTCCAGAAGTACACAAGACTTCCCTCACTGAACAGATATTGACAATAACGTGTATAGATCCCACAGAAATAGTAATACCATTGGTCACAAAGGAGAGGGCAGTCAGCTCTGTTGCAGCAGACCAGAGTACAACATGCTTGTACTGAAGCTAGGTCATACTGGCAGGGCCACATGGCTGAGTAAGCTATGATGCAGATAGCTGGTCCAAAGAAGTGCAACCACTGTCAGTTTTAAAATCATCTTCAGCTTATTACAACGTAAGTCTAGTACTCTTATCCCAGCTTGTTGTTCCAGAGAGAACATGTAAGAGAAGTTAAATTCCATTGATTCTTACAAAGGTATAACATTGCACACCTAATGAATTCCTTATATGCTGCTAAGACAGCCCAAGGCTTTTGTTCTCTCGTGACCCTGACACCATTTATCATTAGAAGCCAGTCCTGCCAGTTCCTCCCTGTCCTGGTCACGTCAGCATCTAGCCACAGATGTATGACTGCTTTCAGCAATTCACCTGACCCGTCTGCAAACCAATCTGAGATTTGTTTTGATAGCACTTGCCAGGCCTTATTCAAAAACTGGTAAAAGTGATGAAAGCAAAAATGTAACGCATTAGCAGTGATACGTAAAAAATAATTGTTATGAAGCCTCATGATGCAAAGCATCTGAGTCAAAAGGATAATTCTGTTAGAAAGCTTGTCACTCATGCAAAACAATCCCTGTAACAGTGATGAGAGGTATGAGGTAATTTACAATTGAAACAACTATTCCTGGGTTCCCCACCTGTGACTAAGCACCTTTATTTGCAAGGCTTTCTCAGAGATAGAGAAGTATCTTGCATCAGTTAAGGTTCCTGATTCTTCCAGCACCTGGGTGCTTGCAGAGTCTGCTGGAGGCAGGTGATGTTTCCCCTGGTTGTGGCACACGCAAGTGGCTCTGGGCTGCAAATCACCCAGGTGAGCTCATTTCCTGGCCAGCTCAGGTAGGCATTTCTGCTGGTGAGCTGGGGGTGGGTCTTTATTCTGCTCTCCATAGAGGTCTAAGTGGGAAGATCTGGTGGCCTTTTCTTCTGGGAGTAAAATGTTTTATGGAGATACTGGATTATGGAACTTCTGTGATCCTCACCCTCAAAAAATAGAGATTTTAGTTTTAATAGCTTAATATATAAGTCTCCTAGAAAGCTGTTAACAAAGCTATGTAAGAGCTGCCAGTTATGGAGACAGCTGAGGAATCTATGCAAACAAGGTAAGTGTGGCTTTTTGAAAGGCTATTGTAAAGGTTCGGGGGCTGAAACAGTTGAGTACGGAGAAAAAATACAGTGGGAGTTAGTTTTCAGTCAAAAACTTGATTTATGAGTATCAACAAAACACGGAGTACATGTAACATTACTTTTCTAAGTATAGAGACAATATTTTGAAGCTATCTTGTACATAGGATGTTTTTGCTGCTAGAATTGGAAGAGGAGTCTGCTCTCCATACTTGTTTAAGGATGGAATAAAGTTTAGGTAACTGAAATTCTGAGTGATCATGAGGTCTCGAGTACTTTCCCGAGTTTGTTCTCTTTGTTTTGCCTTTGAAATTGAATGTGTTTTCTTGAACACCTTCTTGGAGATGCTCTCTTCCAGATTCAATGGCTGGTGGTTTTTCACAAGTTGTTTGACAGCCTGCAGCTACATTGGTTTGAACCAACAGTGAGCTTCTTCCAGCTTGTGATCAGGGGAAGGTAGCAGCAGTTAGAATTGCAGGGAGAACAGTTAAACGCAAGCTGTGTTCTGATTCTTGAGCTGTGGGAGAAAGGGTGAAATGGCAAACATTTATTCAAATCTTTTTCCCATGCTAATGTATAGGTGTTCACAATAATGCTCTCTTGAAGGTGCCCCTCTTGTAGGAGGGTAATAAACACAAGTTTCTTCAGCGCAGTGTAAAATAGAGACATTGGGAAGACAGGAAGGAACAGAAGCTGAGATTGTCTTTGCCAGAATAGCAACAAGCTCTGTAGAAGCAGTCTCCTGCTATTAAATTTCCCAATCACAAAACAGTACTTAAACTGATAAGCAGCATGTAAAATATCAAGCAAAG